AATTTGGTACCGCTCGCTCGGAAAAAAACTTACCAAATGAGTTTAGGATATGTATTTTACTATGGGATTTGAAATTCATAGGGGTTTTGTTATGTTTTCGGATTTCTAAAATGTTATTTGTTTTATTAATATTTTGGGATTTGAAATATTACAATTTATAATATTTTGTTTGTTTTAAATTCAAATTGTTGCATTACCAAATGCCAAAATTTTATAATATTGAGAGGATTTGGCAAATCATCTCCAATTGAGAGAAAATTTGGATTTGTCAAATTCTCTCCAATTGTGAGGTAAGCACACCCATTTATGAGATTTGTCAAAACATTCTCCAATTGAGAGGATTTGGCAAATTCTAAAAATTAGACACTTTTTGCACTTTTGGAATTCAATATTCAAAAAAAAATTCTTAAAACAAACATCATATATGGAATCCCAAAATACAAAAAAACTCACTTTGTGATCCCAAAACTTGTAATCCATACCAAATGCCAAAATTCTTGTTGAACCAAACATCCACTAAATTAACTGGGTCACTTTTTGGAAAATTCCAAGTAAATTTATTGTAACATTATTATGATATTACCTTCTAATCAATCATAAAATCATAATTTTATTGAGCAATGGACTATTATGCGTGAAGATTTAAACTTTCAACAATCCAAAACATGTTTGTTGGTTACATGTAAAGGAGCTGGGGATATGATATTGAGAAGAACGTCACTAGACAAACGTTTGCTCAATTTTCTTGAGTAACGGATTTTGAATGTGCAGGCAGATCAATTGTCTTCTCATGTTATGAAATATACCGTTAAACTTTAGGTTTGGTCACCCCCAACCACAAATCACATGACTTCCTTCTTATTAATTTCCTTTTGACTAGCTTTTCCTCAGACAGAGAGTGACGTAAATACCCCTACATCTAAGAATGCAGTGTATAGAGCACACCTCTCTCAGTGCACATGTTAAAGTTCCTTCAAGAACACAAAACAAACAACAAAAACTGATAAGTATACCGCAGATGAAAAAGGTCAATACAATATTGATCAAAGAATTCGCTACCGCCAATTATCGTCATCAGTCCAGAATAATTGACAATCGTGGAATCCCACTTTGGGTGCAAAGTGCGCTAATGGGCCTTTTTTTTACCCGTGGATCAATGACGGAGGAATCCAAGGGCGAGGAGGGGCTTTTCTCTTTTTGGTGAAACTTTTGGATCTTTCTCTTTGTTTTAGCCGTTGGAAAGTGGCCCACGAGATTTGTCAGCTTGCTAAATGGGCTTTTTCTTCTGTCCTGGCAACGGGTGTATCCAGACTAAGACCCGTGAGCGTCATGCTGAAGCAAGGTAAGAGACAAGTTAACTATAATACGAGTTTGCTATTATGCGCTTCGATCCGTCTAAATGAAGTTTTTGGGGATATTGAATGCTCCAAATGAGTTGACGACCGTTTACTGCTAATTAAGAAGCTAGTTGGTAGGGACCGACAGAGTTTAGGATAAGTTCTGTTGGTATGTAAAAGTATAATACTCCGTTCTCACCATAAATTTGTAATTTAGATGGAATAATTAAAAGAGTTTTAAGATGGCATCAGATAAATCGATGTTTAAAGTCTACCGTCCAAAAATTTAAAGAGGATTTTCTAAAAATTAACATCTTTATATGAGTTCAGGTTTTTCGCCCATCAAAGGGTTTTCAATATGTGAAGGCAATATCAAAATATAAATATATAACTTCAAGCCATTACTATAATTTCAGAATTCTGATATAAGGGTCAAAAGGGCTTTGAATTTTTCATATAATTCTCACAAAGCTATATTATTAATTGTTTAGTGCTTTGCATCAAACTATCATAAACAGTTTTTATTTCAAAAATCACAAACCTTGATTATCCTAACAATATTAAAGGTGATTATCCTAACAATGTTAAAGGTGAGAGGGTAAGGACAGAATATCCAAAAGTTTGTAATGTACATTTTCCATAAGGAAAAAATTTTATGATATTTGTTATAAGATTCTTAATAGTTTGTGATATTTTGTGAATATATGCTCCAAGTTTTAACTCAATCCTAAAAATTTTAAACTCGTAAATTTATCTATACTAGGTTTTATGCACGTGCAATGCACGTGATTAAATACTATGATTAAGTATTTTTGATTTATTTCCTTACTAAAATTTATTTCTTAGTTCCACTTTGCTTGTTTTTGCTCACTTATGTCTTTAAACTTTAGTACTATGATTATTTATTTTCTTTAATGTTTGTTTGAATGGGCTACACCAAATTTAAAATTTTCACGTCAATAATTGAATTGATAAGAAATAAATGTAATCTAAAGCTAATTTGAATTTGCACGTTATTTAGATCGACGTGAAATCAAGCTTGACTTGAGAAGGTATAATGTTGTAAAAGTAAAAAATACTTGAAGAAATAGCGTCATAAAAGAAGGATGGATAATTAAAGCTAATAATCCAAGATGATTAATTAAAAATGTGCTACAATGAAACTAAAAATAATATAAATTTTGTTGTTAATCATTGATAGACTTCAGAAAAAATCATAAAATAAAGATTAATACTAACTTTAGTACACTTTTATATGATAAAAGCATCCACATAACCATATAAAAATATTAAAAGAGTTTATGAAAATCTCTTCTAAAGATTCATGATTTTTCCTCAAAAAATTAAGCTATTCTATAAAATATTCAATAAATTTAAAGATTCATGATTTTTCCTCAAAAAATTAAGCTATTCTATAAAATATTCAATAAATTAAATTTGTGTTGTATTTATAAAGAGCCTTGATGGAGATGATTTGTGTTGTATTTATAAAGAGCCTTGATGGAGATGCTTTTGTTTTTAGCAGCTTGTTCTGAATAAACCCTACATATTAGCTTTGAAGTGTAATATGGATGTTATTTTTTCTTTGTCGTGTTATATGGATGTTTGCTTGGTTTAATTATCATTCTCTTATTTATTCAATAAGTTGTATATTAACACAATTTATGATGACATACATAACTTTTCTACAGATTTGAGATAGATATAAGGTGAATTTTATGTTTAGTGACCTTTAATAAGAATTTTAATTGTAAAATATGTTACATTCATATTTAAAGATCTTGAAACCTGACAGTACTATTACATGCTTATCTTTGATCGTGTCCCTAAAAATTGATCATTCGTTGGTAGTCATATCCCCAAATAAGGTTACTTTGCTTATCTTTGATCGTGTCCCTAAAAATTGATCATTCGTTGGTAGTCATATCCCCAAATAAGGTTACTTGCAGAGTCATGGCACTATAAAGAAAAAAGAAAAATATCAATATTAATTTTTTTTACTTACGCTATGGTAACTAAGTATCATGTGCATATTTTTTGTCAATTATAGTGATTTTGCTCATCTTATCTAGCTTATTATATCTCGTAATATAGTTGATCAATGGCTTCACTTTTGTTTCTACTGCAAGATTATTTATATATAATTTTATATTAAGTTTATGATTCCTTTAGTATTTTAAGAATAAAGTATGAAAGTTTATAAATACTTACTAATTTTTCTTGTATCTTTCATGAAGAATACTTTTTTAATTAGGACAAAATTGTTTAATATGTTCTTTAGGGGGAACTCGGTCAGTGCTTCTTTGTCAGATTCATGAATGTTTCTGAATTTTGAGTTTATTTTCTTCACTTCTCTATTTGAAACGAAAACAACTTAGTTCTTTTAAATGATATCTCTGAACTTTCTAATGGTTTCTCCATACATATCTCATTGTATTTTTTTACCCTATAAATATTATCAACATTAGATATAAATGTTTATACATTATAATCAGTTAATGCTAACATATTATATTATATTATAGTCTTTTATTAATTTTTATTCTATATATCAATGGATGTTATTATTAAAATTATATGCAGTTCCTTGAATTTATACAGTAGTGTTACTTTTTAATCTATCATATATTTTTAAATTCTTATTCCTAAATTGGATAGTTTTAATCTACGGTAATTGCTATTTTTTACCGGCATCAACTTAGACTATTTTTAGATGTTGAAAAGAGATGATAAATTTTAAATTGAAATTTAAATTTATATAACTTAATGTTATAATATCAAACATTTCCTCTTTTCTTTGCCAAAATTTCAGCCTTTTTTTGTGATTTTGAACTTTTGAGGATGTGTTTTGTAATTTTTAAACTTTGATAGTATTTTATGAAAACTTTTACTTATAAGTTGGGTGCTTATAATTCATATTTCATGTATTGTTGGTAAATTTTTAAATGTTAGAATATTTCATGTAACTGTAAAATTTGAAGGTATTTTTACAATTACTAAAATTTGGGTTATTTTTAAAAAATTTAAAATTTCAATGATCTACTCATAATTTCTAAATTTGATGTGTACATGTTATAAGTTTTTAAATTTTAGGATTTTTTATAATTTTTTACTTTTGGGAGAGTTTTTATAATTTTTATAACTTTAAGGTTATTTTTTACAAATTTTAAAATTTTAAGTGCTTAATGGTAATTCTAGAAATCCATCTATTATATTGCTAAGTTTTGAAATCTCTGAATTTTAGGGTGTTTTTTATAATTTAAACTTTTAAGGTTGTTTCAGTAATTTCTAAAATGTTGAGGGTGTTAATTACAAATTTTAAATTTTTAGATTTCTTGTTTGTTTATAAGTTTTAAAAAGTCGAGGTGTTTTGTGTAATTTTAAACTTTTAAGGATATTATATACAATTTTTGAAACTTTTGGGTTTTTTAATACTTCATGTATTATAATATGTTATCCACGTATAATTTCTTTATCTTATTTTTTCTAA